CAGACCGAATAAACTTTTTATTTCACCACGAATATTCATACACATTCCATACACACAGCCTACTGTCATTCCAGACGTAGTTTGCGAATCCTGTTGACCCAAGGCTCCGTTTCGAGGAGGCCAATTAGTCCCACATGATTCACTTCAATTCTCGACGTTTCGAAGAAAAAAGAAACACGCGAGAAAAGGGGAGATGGAGGGGAGGATCAGAAGAAGAACGAGGCATGTTTGAAGAGGCTTCGGATAGAGAGGGAGAAAAACAAACGGGGTCGGAAGGAAGTCTGCCGGAGGGAACGAAGAAGCTCGTAAAAAAGGAGGAGACGAGGAGACACCATGATTTTCAGACGCCGATAAAAGAAGAGCCATCAAGATTATTCCTAGAAGAAAGGAAGTCAATAAAGATAGATTTAGAAAACAGCGAAGTAAGTGTGAGACGGAGATAGGGAGGGAAGATCAGAGAGAGAGAAAGGCTTCACCATGGGATATGTGTGCACGTGATGAAACGCGTCCGCCCTTCTTTGAGCTAAACCGCCCCGCGCATTCCATCGAGATGACTCTAGGGACCCCACTTTGTGCTCTCCACGCGTTGGAACGTGTGCGGGTGCTCCCCTCCCGCGTGCGATAGTCAAGAGGACATTGAAAGTGACTCGGAAGAACGGAGAATAGCAGTGGCGAGACAAACAAATTTCGAAAGATACACAACATATTAAACCGAGCTTTCTGATGCGGCGTTTTGATCATAGACAGGTGCACTTTTTGCATTTTTAGCGTACTTGTTTGCACTGGATTGCCACGGCGAAGCTTGAATAGAAAAGTTGCTCAGATGTGAAATTAATTTTGAAAAATTAAAACTGTAGCACAAAAAACATGTAACTAATAGGGACCTTTTTGTTCGCCTTGCTTTATCCTGATTTCAAATTCAGGTTTAAAGTATTTATTGACATATTTAGGGGGAACTCTTAATGGCGCATGGTACTTGGTTGTGTCAATTTTCGGAAAAAAAATTAGTTTCACTACTGTCTGAGAAAGTCGGTTTTCCTATTTCCTGCCAGCTAGATTCGTAAAATGGACCACTGTGCGTCGAATCGAACACCGAATCGTTTCTCCTCGGGCGGACAGGAGCGAACGAGAGGGAAAGAGGAGGAGAGTGGATATTGTCTGGACTTACGGACATATATGGACACCGGTGGTCTTTGCACACGGTGAACGACACAAGGGAAGCTCCATGTAGGGTATCCTGCAGGATCGGCTTCTCGTAAATCGTTCGGAGGGGTGCAACGGTATGCTACCGTGGCAAAAAAAAATGAACATCGAAACGGCCCCTTGTTTCTATTTTTACGGGGATCTTTCGATATGTTTTGCCCCGTTCCGCTCCGAAGCGGTTCGAACGACGTACAGAGGTCCATTTCATGAATCTAACTGGTCATATAACAGAAAAATCGACTTTCTCGAGACACTCGTGAAACTATGAGGGCCATTTTTAAAGTAAGAATCATTTTGTTATAAATTGATAACAATTCAGGAATGTTATCCTGAAATTAAAGGGATTTCTAAAAAATAAAGCTTTGGTTCTTCTGGACAAAGTATCTGAAAAACCGCTTACTCAAACGTAGTTATCTCAGTTTTATTCCTCCTATTTCTAACAATGAAGTGACTATAAGTTACAAAAAAACATTAAAATTTCTAAAATTGTAGAAAGTGACGTTGATTAATTTTGCTTCTTGGAGGCTCAAATACGAAATGAATTGTTGATTAGAAATATTTGTTAGCAGGGGACATTGTTTAGAGAGCGAAATACCTGTTTTCCCAGAACATAAAATAGACATCACGTACACGGAGATCCTATTTTACGAGAAACGCGGTAGCGTGCACGCGAGCAACAGCTGGCTTCGCGTTACGTTAATAATTTCTCACGGAATATCTAATAACACCGTTGAAAACCAGTCAGGAAGTCCGACACAGACTGAAACTACACTGCACATTCTTGGATAGATTAGTATTACGCTCGCTTGAATCGTGTAACTTATAAATCTATAAAATCTCTGCTGACACTTGTGAATTCTGAGTTATATTAAGAAACTACCGAAATATAGATACTCTACCGTTCTACGCGTGAAATCCGATGATCAAAGTTCTGTGATTGGAATTCAATAATAACGCGATAACATATGATCACTGAATTTAACTCGACTAAAGTCGGGACGGGTAGAGTTGATGTAACTATATTTGTCATCTATTTACTTGGAGGTGTCTAGAGATGGGAATTGCCTCCTCCCCATTCCATGCATTAAACAGAACCGAACAAAAGCGCATTGATGGATAGCAGAAGTGACGTTTCCTCGATTAAACAAAAAATGATCGAAGCAAGAAGAATACTGATGTTCAGAAATGGCGTGGATTTCGTGCGTGAGTGTACAGATTTAGGGAAGTACGATTTTAGGCGGCGCGCAAGAAATCCCATTTCGGTGGAACAGGAAAGTAACAAAAATACTAGGGGGGAGAGCGTGACCCAGGGCCACCTGCGAGCACCTGAAACCCGAGTGATTCGCACGTGATGGGGCAGCAATTCCGAGGAAGCTCGTTCGCGTAACGTTGACCCGCCGACACGACGACGGCACGCGGCGGTCGTATATTTCTGTCGACGACGACGGCGGACGCAGATGCCCGCATGTTGCGCGTTTGCGAACGCGTTCGTCCGGATCCCTGCAACCGGAGAAATCGATGGTGTAATGAATAACGATTTTTTATTCGGGGAAAAATTATTCGTTGATAATAAAGCGGTATTTGTTATTCAGGAATAAATCTGTATTCGTTATCAGTTATCCATTATTCGAAATAACTCTACGACGAATAATGCCTAATGACAAACCGACCCTGGATCTTTCGTTATCTTACGCATCTGTCACCACAGTGAAAAAGGCTGTATGTGGTCAGGCACACTTTATTTTGTTCTTAGTCATAAATCGTTGAAAATATATGCGTTTTGTTAATAGAACTTGTTGGTAGTGTTTCTAATTATACTGCAATTTTAAATATTACGTAAAAATTTTGTAACTCTCGGAACCGAGGTTACAACGGACTCTCCACTGTTCCCGTGGTTTCGATCGGCGACGTTGCAAGTTTTGACATTCACTGTGTAGCTATTTGTAGGGCTATTTGAATAACAAATGCTCGCTCGTGAATACGTCTACCTTTTGTTTTATTCTCCTTTCCCTTCCCCTCCTTTTTACATCGAAATGTACGGTACATAAAAGAGCATGGCTGAGTTATGGCCACCAGGCTCGCGGATAGAGCCCTCAAGGATTCCAATCGGAAATTCAGCTGCTTGAGAACCAAATATAAATGGGGATAGTGATGCAACTGGCCTAAAAAGTATTTCTTGACGATTGAAATTGTAATGTTTACTTCCATCTTTTATCGACCCTTTTAATGTATCATTTGTTTAATTATAGAACCTGAAACAAATGGTACTAACGATAAGATATGTACTGTTACGTGTTCTGTTGTTCCGAAAATGAAATGAAACTATACACAGTTGGTAGGACTCGTGACTCTTATTGACGGAGCGAAATTCAAAAAATTACATTGTCAAACTATATATGTACATATATTTGATAAACAAGTTTACATGGTTTTTACGTAATTTACTCGACACAAAATAATTTTGTTTTATTACCGTAGAAACTTTGTTTTCAACCTTTATATACTGTTGAAATAACGGTTGATATTTATTCGACTAAATTGAACATTTCGAACATTGATATTTGTTCAATTAAATACAAAATTGTATTAAAAAAATGCATTATCCCACTAACCCATACGAAATTTCCCTCGATTTTCGGGGGGAGGGAGGGGGGTACAGCACTTTCATGGGTAGTAGGTGCTCAAAGGTGTCCTATGTCGAAAGACCCCCTCTCGATGGGACATTCAAAACCGTGGTCTCCAGTACTCCATCAATCTTCATCAATAGCAGCAAATTAACAGACAAACAGGACTGGGACAAAAGGAACGTAGAAAGAGGTTTAATTGTACCGTGGAAAACGTTTCGTTAGGGGGCTTCGAATGAGGTTTAGACAACGGTAATCGATCGGTTTGCTGTACTCGTCCCGCTATATGCTCCTAGCTGACAGATGCTGAGCGACGCCAATGGCAGGCGCGCAGTCAGTGGCCAGGAGTATGGAGAGTCCGGGAAACGAATTGGTAGTCAGCTGATTTTGACAGATCCCGTTTCTACGCGGTGGACCGGGGGCCTACATTGATAGGGGGGCAGAAGGGAGTTTACGGCGAACACAATGGAACCGCTGCCGCCGACGACGCCATTGTGCGTCTGTACCACGTATAAAGTCGATCGATGGGGACAGGGTGGAGGGTGGTGTGGGTCGAACCTTCATGAATTTCTACGTCTTTTCAAATCGCGAATAAATTAATACGAGATGGCAGCTGCGTGCACTGCCAATAAAATACGTCCTCCGGGGACAATAGATCGAGACCGCGATATCGGCCGACCGAGTTAGATTAAGTGTTAAAGGGAGCAATCGGGATGATTCGTGGACAGATATTCAGACGGATCTTTGAAGCCTATTCTTCTGTACTCTGATAGCCACGTATTTTGATGTTTGTGTATACCATTCGTCGTGAACTGAATTTTAAATGTTTCCGAAATTGCTCCATCTTTGTGAAAAGCGTATTTCAAAGCTAAAGATTGAAGGAATTCAGTAATATTTTTTCCAAATCCATGGGTAAAAAGTTATTTAAAAGTTCACAAGTAAATATTCTGAAAAATTTTATACTGGTCTTCGAACGACATACATCGAAGTACAATTTACACTTTAAGCTTACTTCGATATTTCAAAGAATAAGTTAGAATTTTTAACAAGATCGCAGGGTTGAGTAGAGACAATTTATGGTTCAAGTGACCGAGTGAACAAATGCATTTTTTTCTACAGAAAGTTTCTGTGCCCCGTGAATTTAATAATAGTATCGTATCACAAATAACTCACCCTATTCGGCTGAACGTGCCAGCTACGCCGTTTTCCATGCCTCTGTACACCGTCTTCAGAAATGGTTAGGTCAGGCCTGCTGCCAACCAAACAACCCCCTGTATCATATTGGCCGACCAGGAGTCTCAATCGATTTCCTGGACAGATGCCCTGAGCAGAAAAAGAAATATGTGTAGCGTTAATATCGGTGTTGCAAGGAGACGTAGTACATAATATACAGGGTGTCCCATAGAGAGAAGATAAGCACACAGAATACCACCTATCCAAATTGAAATCATTCTTACTTGAGGGGTAAAAGACATTGTTTGTGTTTCGTGTACAGTAGATTACAACTGTTAAAATTTAAAGATTTATAATCGCGATTGGAAAAATACAAGACAAACAAAAATTAAGATCATGAAGAAGTGCACATAATATCGCCTCTTTGATTTTATCATTTTTAATTCACCTACATATGTTTATTACTTTTTAAACCATATGATTATTTTGGAGGTTTCTGTGCAATTTTCCTACACGCGAAAAACGAGCTTCGAAAGTGCAGCACGTTGCTCGTCCAATATTGAAAGCATCCCCCCAGCATTCCGTGAACGCTTCGAAATCGTCGCCAGCCACGAAGACGAAACGATTCTTCAATTAGCCGTCCGTTTGCCCGCAGAAGGACGGAGTTCCTATGATTCCATGAAATCGAAACGAAAATAGACGGGCTCCAAGCCTTAAGTTGCATCTTGTCCAGGATGGGATCCGTTTTCTTCGTTGAGAAACGGTGTCGTATAACTCACACATTCGTCGTCGAAATTCTGGAGGGCTCGGTGGGTTTGCGAGTGTCGGGTTCGCCGTCGTGTGTGACACATTTCCGCGTCCCATAACCCTATGACAGCCGCAGCTGCCGAATGTCGCTACCTGAGAGTGGCGCTCGAGTGTACTCGATAGGTGGAAAAGCGTAATCACGAAATGTCTTGCTCGTCTCTGACACTGTTTTATTCTCGTGGTTGGAATTGAAGGTAATATTAGTGTAATGAGCTTGACCAGGACGGTTATTTATACAGACAATGAAAAAAAAAGTGAAATAAATGAAAAAAAACGTTGTACAAGGAATCGAACCCAGACTCCCGACGTGGTTATCTAGTACGCTACCCTCACGTCACATTGGTACTTGCTACCTGTTTTCACTAAACAGTATTTCAACGCAGAAATGAAACTTCAATTATGAATATTTCAAAAGTTTACGAGTATCTGACCCTACAACGGGGTGTTTTCGTAAACAGAATGACGATGTCTACCAGTCTGCAAAGTCTGAACTAAATCAGAGTTCCGAAGGACGTGCACACTCCTTGTGAGACCGAAGGGGCTACCAATTTCAGCGGGCATAATCACACACCCGCTCGAAAAATTAAGACATTGGATTTCATGTACACTAGTTCGTGTCTACTTGCATTTTCAAACTACATTTAGTTTCACAATAAAGTCAAGTTAACACTTTACTGACTGGTGGCCTATTAATAGAATTTTCAATTTCAGTGCTTAGAAATAGGAAGCCTATCAATTTACCCTCAGATCAGAGTTAAAGAAGAAATTGTTACGTGTATTTATTCTATTAGAGTTCTTTTTACTGTTTCTGATGAATGTAATATACTACAGTGATTAAACTGTTTAATGATGGTCCCTTGGCTGTTGATCGCTGGATCTACTAAACCTATTAAATATCAGTCGGTTGATAATGTGTTAAGTAACCACATAACAGTTGCTATATTAGTTTGGCTTCATACATCATTGGAGTTAACGGACAATTTGCGCTCACCATCGATTTTCCTGGTCGTTCATTCGCGCAGGATCCAAACGACCCTGTTCAGACACGGAAAGCGAGCAACGGCGGTACGGGTTTATTTTCGAAATACGGCGCAGCAGACGACGGTGGCTCTATGTGTACCCAGCTCTACAAAACTGTTCATTTGCCGCGGCATAGGAGGCCGAAAACGACAATGCGCACGGGACACGAGGCCCCGTGGCTCCATTACGGGTTCTATTGACCCGCGAACGGAGAAAGGAGAGCCAGCCTCGATCGTAACCATCCAGTGTATCGATCGTTACGTCGCATCTGCCGTTAATTTTCGTGGCGGACGTGCGAGGCAAATCGATTTCGAAGTCAATGACGCGTGGTCCCCTCGCAACCAGAACCGGGCTATGAGTCTTTCAACCGATCTTCGAGTCGAGTAATTACTAATACGGGATTAAGTTAATAAGGGTAAATACTGGCAAGATTTTTGAATATACCAGACGGTGAACAGTTCAGTGGAAATCACAGATAAGACCAGCAACGGGTTTGCCGTAGGTCGTGGGCATGGACGGGGGGAAAAATCTTTCGGACAGATGTCGAACGCGGAAACGATCCAACCAGGTCTAGCACTTCGAGACTAGTTCCCCCCGCGTTCGTGAGGGTGCTTATATGTATGTAAGTATCCGAAGCCACAGATGAAGATCTTAGATCTGCTGCCTGTAACGGTGCAGCCGTGCGTCCTATTTCCGCGATAATAATGCCTCGTCGTGTCGCGGGATCGAGCGAGACGGCCTACATTGGGGGATGCTACTCCTCCCCCCCTTTCCTTCTCTACTCATACTATCGCGGATGAGCCGAGCGCATAATACCGAGCTGCATAAATAATGCACCGAGCATGTCTATGCGTCAGTTCACGTGGCCCTCGTTTCGTACGCTTGACAAACTCCATCGGACGTTAATGGAACATGGCTCGTGCTTCGCGAACGAGCCAAGCATATGGGGACCCCGGTGGAACACGGGCGTTTACGTATGTGGTCGTGTCCGATCTCATCGGGACTTGTCAAGTGGGCCAATTGAGGGATCACGGTGGTACCGGTAACTTGGGGTGGATTTAATGACGAATTCTTCGTGTACGGTCTGCGCCTTAAGGTGATTCATACGGGATTCTCTAGTCAATAAAACAAGTCGCCTTATAGCAATGGTGACTTTCAGCAATAATACAAGCATTTAAGCGTTTTAAGACCAAACATGTTTGCAACAGTCTGTTCACTGACGCACACCACTGCCAATCAGTAAACTTGAGGGACTGTAAAATTTCGTCAGGCGAAGCAATTACCTGTCTGCCTCGCAGGGCGCACAACCACCAACCCTCAAGACCGGCGGTGTTTTGTTCGAGTACGGTGAGAACATCGCCCTTCCGAAACGCCAATTCGTCGGGAGCTTCCGCTATGTTGTCGTAGAGGGCACGCGCCTTTACACATTTTTGCTGCAACAGAAGAAACAGACGAATTCATGCATTACTGTTCACAATAGAAAGATTAGTTCGAGAAGGAAATTAGGTAAGGAATAACTAATTAGATAAGTAATACTATATAGAAGCTGAAAAACGTTATTTACTTCTATTTTAAACATTACGTGATTACTGTACCATTTTCGAGATTCACTGGCTTTAGACAATGAGGTATTGTTACTGTTAAAGATCCAATTTTAATACAGACAATAATGGAAACTACATAATAAAACAATTATTGATTCATTCTTGTTACTACAAGTTGAATAATGGTAAGTGCAAATTAAAATCCATTATTTATGCTTAACTTCGCATACTTGCTACAATATTGGCATCGTTTCGGGACCAGAAATATTTGGGAAAACGAAACTATCGGTCTGGTACAAGTAAGTACATAGATAGCACAGTCACGTGGGGTTCAGCTGACCGACAATATACGATTCGTGTTGATTTATCTACTTGGGCGTGTAACTATCTTCAAGTGCGTACACTTGAAATATTATAGAAGTTACAAAATAAAAAGACAAAAAGCAGGGTTATATGTTCGAGTGATGCTAATAATCACATATTTAAATAAATTGAATATTTCTCTATTTAAGTAGTGGCAGTTTAACAAAGTGTACAAAATCATTGCCATTTCTCTTGCCGCTGTTTCGAGAACCAAAACCTTCCGACGAAGTTGTATAACGACCATTTAAGAGGAAATGCAAGTCACAATGGCTCGCGTTGATATCGCGTTGCGTTCCACTCGTATTCAAGTGAATTCAATTGAATCGCCTCGGCAAGATGACAACAATTACCGCGCCATTCATAATTTCGTGGCAAACAGTGATGTCATCCAACAAGTTTGACGAATATCAGCGAAGAAAAACGACGTCTTGGTGGTCCCCATATAAATTAATGTACACTGACGAGTAAACTCGGCATCCTCCAGGGGAAGAAGCAACGTAGGGGTAAGGGCCTCCTACCGCTTGATAAATTTATTTCAAATACTAAAATAACGTTAATGGATCACCACATTTAATCACCACAAATTAAATTATTAAAACAGTGAAAGTATTAAACAAACGTAAATCAAGGAACTTTCAAAACTGTTATTAACATATTCACGCCGACTAGAACTATAAATCAGATCGACGGATAATTACCGATTTCTTAATTACCACGTCCTGTCACCCGTACGCTTACAACGGCGTTGATAATTGGCTCGTAGTTTCGTCACTCCGATTAATCACGGTTTAACGACGACATTTCCGCCACGTTGAATGTGCGAGCCACGAAGACGGACGAAAGCATGGCCAGAGGTTTTAATCAAGAAGTAATTAGCACACGGCGGCTACGTGAGTGACTACGGCCGGCTACGCGAACGAACGTGATTGGAAATTAATCTGGGATTAACTTAAATTAATTTCTTCTGTGATACCTTTTACGCAAGCTGCTCCGTAATTTATCGCTTGAAATTAATTTACAATAGAATAGAAAATTGATCGATTTTTAAGATTTTTAAAAAGATTCCTGAATATTTTGTTACTTTCCTGGAAACAAAAAAGATTAAGAATTTAGACCATAGGTTCCCAAAGTGGGCACTACCATCCACCGGTGGACACTGAGGAGATTTAGGGGGGCATTCTCAAGATTCAAAAATTAAACGCACAACTAGACTTGGAAATTTTTATAACAGAGATAGTTTAACCGAAGGGGGCCCAAAAAAAAACACTTTGCAAAAGGGGCGATGAGTCGGAAAAGGTTGGCAGCTATGATTTAGACCCTCAAGATCCTGTAGCCGCTACTTCACGACGCGACAATGGTTCGTCAACTTCTGTATCCTCGAAAATCACAGTTAACCTTCGACATTGCTGCACGCGATGGATCGTTTTGCAAGAAAATCTCATAGACACTGTGCACGTATGTACGAAAACGCGTCATTAACTATGAAGATGTTGTCGTGATTTCGCTCGAGGCGTTATGTAGGTCGTCTGGTACCGTGTCTAGGATCGCCTAATTGCGGAGGCTCGTCGCATAATCATTTGAGCCGCAAGTATACACATGTATATATAATGTAACGCGCGTGAGCGCCACAACGACGCCACACGTTGACCCGATTCGGAAGATCACTTTAACCGTAGGAACCGTGCTCCGAAACCTGTCAGTTCGAAAGGTCGTGGAGTGGTGCGTGTGTACCTGCCGGACTGGCCCGATGACGTTCCCGTGGCGACCGAGCCCCCCTTTTATGGGGCTAGGCTGCATTCTTCGGCGACTTACGGGGCCCAGCTCACGACGATCGAACGATCCTTTTCAAAATAGGATCGACGTGTACCGGGGGTTTTGATACAAAGAATGACACTGCTCGTAAAACATCTTTTATTTACGAAATTCACGCAACTGAACATGATTACCTACTATTCTCTCCGTGTGATCGCACTTTATCGACCCCCCTTGTATTGTTGATACAAACCTTCACCATGTTATGGGATTTTCACATTCGCTTACCCAGATGTTAAATTAGTTTTGAAACAATAATAGATTGTGGAAAATTCAGTAAAGGCCAGAAAAATGGCGTCAAAGTCCGTTATACGGAACTCTGAAAATGGATATGATTAATTTTCTTTTTACAATTTTTATATTGTTGAATTCTAATGTGTGTACTTGTGTTTAGGGCACGGTATAGTTTATTGGCCTCTGCTAGAGAATAAAATGCATAATATTGTTCATTCACTGGTGAAATCTGTACTTTTTCTTTTCAAATTGAAATCTATATGTTATAACACAGTACAGACATTAAAAAAATCTAATTTTCATGTGCCAAATGTATACCAGATATTATTATCATTTAAGATTCGACTATAAAGCTTACAAAATCTCTTTAACTTCATTAATTGGTTACCCTAGCCATTCCAGCCAACAATCGTGTCCGAGAAAACGCAGACAAATGCGTAACTATATGTACCTGTTCCATTAACGAAACATGTTTCGGTGTCGAAGCACTGTCCATGGCTAATGCCAACGAAAGCCGCGTCGGCGATCGGCCGACCGGTTTAATTCGATTAAAATTTTGCGTTGTTGGCCCCCCGTCCACCAGCGAGCGGACGTTCATGCGGCATCATTGTGTCTTCATAATGCAGCCTTTGTTACGCTCCGCTCCGACCGAGCGACTGTCCATACCTGTACAAGCGCGGGTGCACCTGCACAAACATGCTGATGCGACTTCACGCCGACATCCAATGGGCGGGCGGGCAAGGGGGTGGGGGAGGGGGAACCACTGCCTCGTGTTTCAGCGTAGATTAGCACTAGAACTGCCAAAGCAATCAAAACTGACTGATTCGTAAACTCTTACAAAAGTTATTAAAATCTCATAACAGTGTACTTTTTGAGATTCTTCGAAAGTTTTATTGCAATATACAGTAGGTTAAATTCTTTCTGCCAAAAAGAAAACAGCGTTACAAGCTAAAGTACCCTCACGAGCAAACTCGGCTTCCGTTAGGGGCAAAAGTGGCGTAGGGGAAGGGGCCTTTAACACTTGGTATCGGGAATTACTGAAATTTATGCCAAATTAACATTTATTTCAACACTTGAAATAAATTTATCAAGTGCTAGAAGGCCATTTTCCACGTCAGTTTTTCCCCTAGTGGAAGCCGAGATTGCTCGTGAGGGTACATCGACATGCTTCGATAATCGTTAGGAACGCCTCTAGCGTAAATGAACGCGAAGCATCGTGTTATCCACGGCACGATCGTGTGTGACACTTCGTTATTCGAAACGCGGGCCACGTCTTCCCCGACATTCCCATTAGAAGATCCTTTGGGCATCGTGGATCGTGGCCCCCGGGCACGGTCTCGATGTCGGGAACGAAATTATTTCCTGCCTTCGCGGCGGGTGCCACGCATCGAAGGAAATGGCCTAATGGAACAAGTTTGCTGTGGGGAATTGAATTGTGCCTCGATGCGGAAACATCGGAGGTGGTGCTTCACGCGGGGCGGGGGCGTGATCCGTAGTGTAATCGGAAATGGGGGTGAATGTACGTGGTAGAACAAACAGTAGATGAGGAATGAAGTTTTTCATTTTCGAAGCAGATGTTTCTTACCATATGGATTATCGTAGTATTATATGATAGTAGAACGTCGATTTTTGGAATTTTGATTGTTGGGAACGCAGATCATCTTAAATACCCATTATAACAACCTTGCTGTATATATTTACTAATCATTATTTGTAATAAAATTTAAAATAACTTTATCATTAATCTTCGAGAACTTATGTACTTTCCAACATTAAATATTATTTGTTATACAAATATCTGCAGTAATCGGAGCATCCGCAGTAATACTCACACCTACCCTACGTAGAGCTACACCGTCAGGTTCACCGTGGAAATAAGTCGCCGGTAAGCGCGAGTCACCGGTGTACAGGTACAAACGCGGTGGTTGGCTGATGATAAATAACGGACCATTATCTCTAATGCACCGCGGTAAACTTACGGCGATACATAATCCACCAAACACCTGACCCGTGGTGCCGCGGAATGTTCCTGCCGATGGCGGAATTTAATATCGGCCGGGTAGGCACCTACTGAAATTCCGCCTCGATGAACGGAACTATATTTTCGAAACGATCTACATTCCGATCGCGCTCTAAACAAATATTTATGCGATCTGGGGTGCGGACGCGCGATATGTGTCCGGCTAAAGGTGTTGGGTGGCTCCTGGTGTATAACTTATAAGCAGTCGTATATACAGGGTGGTCCACTGGAAACGGACCACTTTAACCTTTAGACTGCCGACATTTTTTCATACAAATGTGATCTTTTTGCCACAAAATAGATGTATATATACATAACATCTGCATGCACTGAATTTTGTTAATTTGCTTGTCGTGTATTAATAGTAAAAAAGAATAAAACATGAATAACCAGTAGAAACATTATTGCAATACATAAATTTTAACCTATTTCCGTTTGCAAAGAACATCACACTTCGATC